AGTGGGGACTTGATAATAGGGGTAAATGTAGTAACCACATTGTTTTTTCATATGAAACCTTCATAAGAGTGTATATCAATCATACCTTAATAAAAAACTTTTTTAAAATAAAAAATAAAAGTCAACCATAGCTTTCCTTTCCAGAGGGAACCCTGTACATTATGGAAGCTGAGGCTTGGTGGGGGCATGGTTCATAGGAGGAGCTGTGTCCAGCTGTGCCCAGTGTCGCCTCTGACTTGAGCTCTGGGGGGCCTTCGGTAGAGTGGGGGAGCATCCAGACTCCACACTTCAAGCTGGGGCTTGCAGTTGTTCTCAAAGACTAACTGTGGACTCCCCGAGGGCCTCTCTTAAGTGACAGTCAGAGATGACTGAGGCTTCTGAGGAATTTGGTTCCGTGTGCATTTTTGAAGGGCCTGCTGTGTGCAGACAAGCACCTGGTGGACCAGGGAAGGTGGGAGATGTGAGTTATCAGTGTAAACTTAGTTATTAGTGTAGACTTGATGTATGTCTCCTAAGGGTCTCTACATGTCAGTGCATAGGTACCACTTGTCACAGGTCAGTGGTTACCATGAGAAATGGAAACAGCAATTCAGGGCTCAGCCCTTGAGAAAAAGGGATGGAGGTGGAGAGGCCAGCAGCAAGATCCCGCCTGCCCAGAAGTAGCCCCTCCTGAAGCTTGGGTAGCAATCCCCCATGTGCCTGGTGCCTCCCCCACCCCAGGCCACCAGGAGACCCCATCTCAGTGTCTGGCCCCTCTGGGGCTCGTGTCCTCCCCTCCTGGCTGCCACCAGGCGCATCCCTGCTCCTCCCATGTTCAGAAATGTGGGCCCTCTCTTCTTCCCACCTCCTCCACTCCTGCCGTCATCTGGGTGACGTCAAAGTCCACGTGGACGGCAACATTTCCCTGCAGGCTCTGAAGACGTCTCCTCCACCCCCGCCTCTGGTGCCTCGGTCACACCCTCACTCCCGGGACCTCCAGGACATCTCTGGTTCAGGACGTGTGTACTCTTGATCATGACTGCTTCATTCCTGCTCTGCTGTCTCCATGGTAAATGCATCCTTCAACCTCATCTAGCCTTCCTGGTTCTCTTTCCTGCTCTGCTTTCTCCCAATCCGTCAGCTTCCCCTGCTCTTCGCTACCTCTCTGACCGGTCCCAGATCCCACGCCCACGGCACGTCGCACACAACCTCTCCCAGTATTGCTGAGGGCCAAAGGTGAACATTCTGGAATCATCCTTTCCATCTCAAAAACGAGAAAAGGTTATTTTCCTTAGGAATACAAAGTTCAAGATTAGTCTTATCAACAAAAATGCATTTGCCCACCATTCTTCTGTTAAGTATCTGCTCAGGAAACGTCAAGTACACAGTCTTAAAGTACATAGTCAGATGCTATTTCCAAATCAGTCCTGACATCTGGGAGCCCATCTCATTTTGTACACTTCTCAGCGTGTCCTCCTTCCCCGTTCTTGTCTTCTAATGGATTCACCAAGTTTTCTTGGTCCCAAGTTTTCCTTGTGGGTAAAAGTTACCTTTTTGGGGGGCTTCCTAGCATTTGCACTCCCTTCCCACTGGGGGGAATCCCTCAGTGTGTGACCATTGGTGGGAGGCCAAGCCGAAGACCCCACCACAGCTGAAAGGGTTTGGACTCCACCGCTGACACCCCTGCTTTGCCCACGACTTGCACTCAGGCAGCGGGATGATCTTACTCGGGACTCCTACCCAGAGCGAGGGACACTGAGACCCACAACAACAGGAGCAGACGTGTCCAGGACAGCAGCGCTAACAGCCCCGGGGGCTCCTGCTGCTCAGTCTCCCTTGGTTTCTGCCCATTTTCTCCCCCAGGTTTTCCAGCCTTCATGTGGAGGGTCAGACCTACTGCGAGCCTTTTTTTGTCAAGGTAGAGGCGAACTTTACTGGCCCAGTGCCTGGGGCTGCTTCAAGCAAGGCCAGGGGCAGTGGAAGCCCGGTCCTGCACGCACTGGGGTACTGCTTGCTCTCAACTCTGACCCTCCTTGCCGTTGTCCCTGGGGCCTGAGCAGTAGCAGAGCCAAGTGTGGGAGCGAGCAGCCCTGGCGATGTCCCTGGAGACCCCTCTGCTGCCTTCTCTTACTTCCTGTGGGTTTTGAGAGGTTCGTTCACTGCTGTTTCCCATGAAGGGAAAGGCGTGGAGCCGTCAGCTCTGGATCTGTTCTGGCTGCCTGGACCTGGGTGGTGATACAGCCCAGTCTCCGTGATCCTGTAGAACCCCATGCCAGCTGGATGCCAAGGAGACTTAACGTAAGCTAACAGCAGCAGTAGCTTGAAGAGGGTCCCACTCCCACCGGAAGTCGCTGCCCAGGGTGCCTAGCATGCCCAGCGTGCCCAGCACTGTGGCCAGAAGAGCCTGCAAGGACTGCCCAGACCAAGATAGTGCCATGGCTGGCTGGTGCCCCGCCAGGGTCTCTGACAGCCTTTCAATAAATCCCTTTGCTGTTTGAGTTGGTCAGTTGTTTGCTTTTGTCTGCAACCAAGAACCTTAACGGATCCTTCTGTCCACTGGGTTGAAGGTCACATGTTCTGCTTGTTCTGCCAGTGCTTATCTTTACACATTTCTAAATGAACAGATTTTTTTTAAAACCCCAAACTATAGGTATAATACTTAATAATCATTCTTATTCTCTCTCTCACTCTTTTTAAAAACTATCTCTCTTCTTTTAAGAGGCAAGAATGTTGGGGGCAGATTTAAGGAATTTGATCCTGGAAATTTATTTTTCTAACAGTCTAAACCTCTTCAACTGGAGACAAGAACTTTAGAGTGTTTCTACTGACAAAGCAGTAGGGTACAGAGGTGGTGGGCAAGGGCGCTGGAGTCAGACTGCCCAGGTTTGAATCCTGGCTCAGCCACCAATTACCCTTAAAAGCCAGAATGGCTTTAGGCCAAAGTCAGACTGGACTTTGAAAGGTATTGACATTTCTTTTTTTTTTTTTTTTTTTTTTT